GTGAGTTGAGGCCTGAGTCACGGACCCTCGATACCCACGACCACAGCCACCCCGCCCGAGCTAATCCGATTGGCGTTTCCCGAGCAGCTTTCCGGGAGGCTGGGAATTCTGGAGCCAGCCTTTCCAAGGACCCGCCCCAGTGGGTCCGACCCGGCTGCCCCGAGGACAGCCGCCTCCTCCAGATCTTACTCACTGCTCGACTTTCGCCAGTTAGGACTGCTTGCAACATCCTTCCCAAACCTCCTAACTGACTGAAACTTTCTGCGATTGCTCAAATGCCAGGGGGCCGCGTTCCTCCCACCCCGGTGGGCGCCAGAGGCCTGCGCTAGCCCCAGTGCAGGACTAACATTGTCCCGGGCAGGGAGGTGCGAGGTGCGAGGTGCGGAGGGGACTACCCCCTTTGCCTATTTCCCTCCTCTGAGACCTCCACCTGGTCCACATGCCGCAGCTCGGAATAGGAAGGGGTCAGCCCGAATACCCTTCTCTCTACAGATCTCCCCGTTTGGGGACATCTGTTCCAAACTTGTTGCCACGCGCAGGCTAACTAAGGTGCCTGCAGGGGGGCCGGCTGTGGCTAAACCTTAGTCGCGTTGAGTCTCCAACGCGTGGGAAACTAGAGGCTGAAGGCGTAGTTTTACCTTGGCATCCCCGGCCGCCGGCAGGGCTCACGGAGGAGCAGAAGAGCGCGCCACTCGGTGCGCCATCGCGCTGCCGCCTGTGCTGCGCCCCGCTGCCGCGGCTGCTGCAGGTTCCCTTGTAGCAGCTCCGCGCTCCCTCTGCGGCTCCCGCTGCAAGGACTGCTGAGTCTCGGCGCGCGTCCCTCGGCTCGCTCCCCCAGCGTGGAACTCGCCGGTCGCGCTCGCCTCCTCCAATCCCTCAGCACCTAGCCGCGCTTGTATCCTGGGCGGGAGGGAGGGAGCGGGTGACCTCCGCCTCCTTTTCTTTTCTCCTCTCCGCCTCCTTTTCCGTGAACCCAGAGTAGGATCAGGAGAGACTAGGGAACCGCGCCCGGATACTACCCACCCACCCACCTCCAGCATCATCAGAGCTGCGATTTCAACAGCCCAACCACTTGGGGAAAAGTTTTGTTTTAAATTCATTTTCAAGCTAAAAGCGCCAACTTTAAGGCTGCAAAACAGGAATCTAGAGAGCTAAGTCTACAGACAGCTGTCGTAACGGCGTGTTGGGCTGTCAGATTGTAGTTTGCAGACTGAACTCATCCCACCCAAATCCAGCTCGAAAAGGATAAAGAAACCAGGTAGAACGAGATGGTTTATTTAAGGTAGGCCTTTGTGGCCAGTATCCCCAGGGTGTTAAAAAGAGAGATTCAAGTCAGCGTTGTAAATGGAAATGGTTACTGCTTAGGATGCACTCTCAGAGGGACTGAACTGTTTCCAGCTTTCTACGTAATGTGAGAAGGGGAGGGGATGTGAAGTATTGTTGAAGGACACCTGCAGATAAGGGATTAGTAACATTTTAATGGTGAGAGAATTTCTACTGCTATATTTACCCAAAGAGATGTGAACATAACAAATTTCGTGAAGATCATTTTATGACAATAACCACTACTTCATTAGAATTATTTGACTCATATTAATGTCGTAACCACTTTTTGCTAATATCATTTTGATCCATACCTATTAACAGGTATCATTTTTCCAGCTAAACACTTATGGGAATCTATTACTGACCTTTGCTAATTTTATTTTAGTAAAACATTGCCACAACCTATGTGAAAAACCAGTGCCACATAGAAATAAACCCTTTTATCTCTATTCTAAAATCAGAAGGTGCCTCTAAATTCCTGGAAATTGAAAAGGATCCTAAAATGCTTAAGGAAGATAAATTAGCCATTAACTATAGGGAAAAAATTTGAATGATATGATTATAACTTGTAAAATAAACTTACTTATGTATGGTCAGGAATTGAATAATTTAACTAATTAAATATTCTGGTTAGTAGAGAAGTATTATATCTGGATGGCCAGTATCCAAAAAACAACTGTGTAATAAACCACTGTAAAAATGTGAATGGCATAGGGGCACTATTCTTTCTTTTAATGATTAATAGCACTTAATTTCATTCATTGCATTGCAAATATTTGTTTACTTATGTCTCTCCCACTGAATTCCAAATCTCTACTTTCATCTTCACTTACCATTCTCCCTGTGTCTCTGTCCTCACATGACCATTTTCTTATAAAGACCTAGTCATATTAGAGTAGGGGGTCACCCTACTCCAGTATGATCTGATCTTAATCAATTACATCTGCAATGACCCTATTTCCAAATAAGATCAAATTCTAAGATTCTGAGGGTTAGGACTTCAGCATATATTTTGGAGGTGGAGGAAGCAATTCAACCCATCGGAAGAACTACACTAGAACATTACTAATATTATTACATCTATTTGTATGTTTCTGCCTTCATTCCATTCTTCTGCATCTCTCCCTCAGAGATAACAGAGATAACCACTATCCTAAATTGTATTTGTTATCATTCTCTTGCATTTTGTTTTATCACATAAATATGCAGATGAAGCAATATATTAATTTTTGTTTTGTAACTTAACCTTCTGAAACTTGCTTTTTGCATGCAAGATTTGTAAGATTTGTGCATATTGTTATATGTAGTAGTAGCTTATTCATTTACAAAGTTCTACAATATCTCAATGTTTGGATATCAAAATATTTTTAATATTATTCTGTCAATAACCATTGGGGTTATTTTCAGTTTCTGTTTTTAGGAAATATTCTACTATGAATGATCTCATCTCATCACCTCGTATAGGAGTTTCTCTAAGATATATATCTTGGGTGATATTACTATGTGATAATGTATGAGTATGCTCAACTTTACAAGAAAATGCTAAATCTTGTATCAATTCACATTCTTTCAAACTGTGCATAAAAGTTTCCCTTTTAGCCACGTTCGTGATAAAGCTTCGAATTGTCTAGTTTTCTAATTATTACCAACCAGATGGTCATAAAATGATATCTCATTGCAGACCTAAATTGTATTTCCCTTTGCATTCATTTTTCATCTTTTATAAAATGTGTTCATCTCTTTTTTTCTAACTTTTTATTAGGTTGTTTTTTTCTTAATTTTTTGTGTGTTCTAGACATTAATCCTATATATATCAGTTATATGTTCAGCAAGCATCTTTTTCCAAATCACAGCTTGCCTTTTCATGTTCTTTATGCTGTTATTTTTTTTTTACAAACAGCTCTTAATTTAATGTAATCAAATTTAAATATTTTAAATCTTATCTTTTGTGTTTTATTTTAGCATTTTTGTGTCAAATTTTAAGTCTGTTCAAAACCTGGATTATAATACATTCTGCTGTTTATTTTCTAAACATTATAACATTTTGCCTTGCACATTTAAGTATTTAATTTCTCAGATAATGATTTTTTGAGAATTATGTAAGGTAGGAATCTAGGAGTTTTCTCCATATGGAAAACCAATTTTTGTGGTGTCATTATTAAATAATCTCTCTGCTACAGGTTGAATTGTGTCACCTCAATATTTATACGTTGAAGTCCTAACCCCAGGTACCTCGGAATGTGACCTTATTTGGAGGTAAGTTCTTTACAGCGGTAATCAACTTAAAATGAGGCCATCAGGGTCGGCCTGAATCCAGCATGACCAGTGTCTTCATAAAAAGGGGAAATTTGGAGATAGACACACAAACAAAGAGAACACGTGAAGATGGCCAACTGTAAGCCAAGGAAAGAGGTCTGGAACAGAATCTTCCCTCACAGCCCTCAGAAGGAATCAACCCTGCCAACACCTTGATCTAGGACTTACAGACTCCAGAACTGTGAGAAAAAATTTTTGTTGTTTAATACACCCAGTTTGTGGTAATTTGTTATGGCACAAACTGTAAATTTATATACCCTCCCTTCCCCACTAATCTAGAATATATACTTCTCTCAGATATCTAGTTTCCATATATGCACGGGAAAACTATATTATTTGTTGACTGCCTATCATATAGGAAAAACTATACTAAGTACTTTAATCATGTTATAAAATTTAATCCTCTAAACAAATGTATGAAATTCACGTGGTCATTATCTCTCACCCAAATTATGGCAACAACTTCCTCCTAATTGTCTCCCATTTGATTCCAATCCGTTGCCGCATGCAATCAGATTAATCTGTTGAGTATAGGCTCCAATGCCAGAATGGCCAAGTTCATATTCAAGGCCCTGTACTTAT